ATATGATTTGTACGTGTTGACATTGGAATATCAGGGGGCACATATAAAAAAGACTGTTCTTTTCTCTTTAAGTTATTTAAGAAACATTAGATTAAACGACAGTAGCTCAGTTGGTAGAGCATTGGCCTTTGGGCCTGAAGGTCGTGGGTTCGAGCCCACCATAAGACCTACTTCACGACTCCCACTGATGACTGCTGTCGTTGTGTCCTTGGGCAAGACACTTAACCCTACTTTGCCCAAAGCTCCCACTGAAAGATCTCAGCTCCTGTGGACTCACCACCTGCACGAGGATCAGTGAGGGGCTGGTGCTATGTGTACTGGGTGCAGCTCTGGCTGCACCCAGTACACATAGCTGACATTTCTGACCCAGAAATGGATTAAGGGGAAGAAAATGGATGGATGGATAGATTAAACCACATTTCTTCATCATGTCTGCACTGTATGAAGCCTTTTATTATCATCCTGAAATCCTGGATGGCAGAAAACTTTCTCCAGCTCAACCAGGACAAAACTGAGGTTTTAGTCATCGGTCCTGAGGCCCAGAGAGAGAAACTTTTACCGAAACTCCAATCACACTCTTTTAATCCATCATCACAAGTGAAAAACCTGGGCGTAATCTTTGACTCTGAGCTGACTTTTATTCCTCACATCAAGAACATCACAAAAATAGGTTTTTATCATTTAAAGAACATCGCCAGAGTCCGCCCCATTCTCTCTCGGGGCAACACGGAGACGCTGATGCATGTTTTTATCACCAGTCGCATTGACTACTGTAATGCCCTGCTCTCTGGTCTTCCCAAAAAGAACATTTCAGGTTTACAATTACTTCAAAACTCGGCCGCACGTGTCCTGACTAAGACCAGGGGGCGGGACCACATTACACCGGTTTTAAAATCGCTGCATTGGCTCCCTGTGTGTTTCAGGATCGATTTTAAGGTTCTTTTAATGGTTTTTAAATGTCTTAATGGTCTTGGGCCTTCTTATCTTTCAGATTTGCTTCTATCCTATGAACCTTCCCGGCCCCTGCGCTCCTCCGGCAGCAGACTTCTAACCATCCCCAAAGTCAGGACACACACTCACAGCGAGGCATCTTTCCAGCACTACGGCCCCCGTCTCTGAAACAGTCTGCCGGAGGAGCTCAGGGCCGCAGAGAACGTTCATATTTTTAAGAGTAGGCTCAAGACGCACCTTTTTAGAGTAGCTTTTGATTAGTATTTATTATTTATTATTGCTTTTTAGGACATCTATTTATGTTTTTAGACACATTATATTTTTATTTATTTTTATTATTGACTATTTTTAATTATTTATTGTATCTACCCATTTACTATTGTTATTATCAATATTAGGCAGCTGCCATTTTTCTTTTTATTGTCACATTTTATTGTTCTACTTTCTATTGTATTATTGTATTGTTTTAGTGTCCCCAGTGTTTCCTCTGGAGGAGCCCTCTGCACTGAGAGCTGGGGTCTGCTGTGGCTTCGGGGGTCTGGCTCTTGGATCCGGTGGGGGTCTGGGGCCTCCTCTCTCCTCTGGGTCCTATGGGGTCTGAGTCCTGGGCCTGGTGGGGTCTGGGGCCCCTCTCTCCTCTGGGTCCTGTGTCGTTCCCTGTGGCTGCAGCCGGCTCTCTGCTCCTGGTGCAGATGGCTCCTTGGATGACGCTTCTTCATCTGCTTCTACATCTGCTCCCAGCCCCATTTCTTTTTATTGTTTTACCTATTTTACCTGATATGACTTTATACTTGTGTATGTGTGTGTGTGTGTGTGTGTGTGTGTGTGTGTGTATATGTGTGTGTGTGTGTATACGCATGTGGTTGTATATATAATTATAAATGTGGTTTTGGGGGGTCTGTGGGGAGGAGGGTTTAGGGCTGGGCATGTTGGATTGTTTTTAACTAAACTGTAAAGCACTTTGTGTTACACTTTTTGTATGAAAAGCGCTTTATAAATAAAATTTGATTGATTGATTGATTAACAATTAGACTATTTAGATGTGTTTGGCAACTCACGTTCCTTTTAGGGTTGCCAAACAATAAAACATTAAGAATTATATTTGTTTGGATAAAAAAGAAAAAAACAGTATCTGTATGAGGGGTCTAAAGGTGTGAGTGTGTGATCGGAACTTCAACCACCACCAAATGGTTTACGGCTATACATAGATAGACAATCATCTCAACAGCTCCTTTAGAAGATGTTTGTATTGTTAGTCTATTGAGATGCTGCTCCTCTATGATGGACATTTTTCTGTAATTACCGTAAGCTTCTCACTCAAAACTTCTTGTTAGTGAAAAATGAGCAGAATAACAAGTCGTCACCAGTCGAGCTCGTGCCTTTGAATAATGGTGCAAACGCTGATGATAACTGGAACTCATCGAATCAAATGTGATTAGCCAAAAACACACCATCTCATTATAGGACGGTCTCAGTGCCAGCAGAGTGGGAGGCTGGGAGCACAATTTGGCAAATAGTTGAGTCCACCAGATTTTTGTAATTCCAGATCACATCTCGAAATTAATAGGGGGAAAGACATTTTTAAAACTTCTTTTTAGCAATCATTATTGTAGTATAGTCAGGATACTCAATAGAAACAGTTCAACAAAACAGATTAAGAGATTTCTTGGATAAATACATAAGTTAGAGGAGGACAAAAGTTGATAAGAGTGAAAAAAAGTCTGCTAGTAGTAGTTTATTGTCTAGGGTTTAGGGTTAGGCTAACCCTAGTAGTAGTAGTAGCAGTTTATTTTCTTTGGTCGTTATCAACATTTAGATCTTACTTCCCATGTTTTTCAAAGATCTTGAAGACAATCAGAAAAAACTTGTATGTTAGGAATTCAAGTACGAAATGACACCTGACCGAAAGGGGTTTAGGCTGAGGTCAAGACTTATATTGCCTAACCCCTTTTACAACTGTGACAATATGTCCAATTTGAAACAAAGTTTATCATACCAGGCACAAAGTTGTTTATGTGACAATAAATTCAATCATTCATTATCTAATCTAAAATATAGAATTATTCCCTGACACATTATTACATACAGGCATTGTTATTGTGTTTTTCATGTTTAATGATCAAAGTAATGGTCTCCATTGATAAATGTTTGTGTTACATTCTGACCACATCATCTCCAATGGCCACATTCTGGATGTGGTCATTGGAGATGCTAATATCTGGGTAAATATCAGCCATATTTGCAGCATTGCCAGCATTGCAGTCTGTGGCAGTCCTGTGGTTGTGGATGTTGTGGATGTTGTGGATGTGCACTTATGCATGGAGAACTCATTAGTGTCCACACGTCACTCAACATTAGCATGGTGATGATGGACATGAGCAAAGAGAAAATCCACTTATTTAATGTCATCTGACTCATACTCCACTGCAGAGCAGATATTTACTCTGCCTGTTAAGACAAGATCTTTAGTATGATACAGATCTAGAGTTAAAATAGCAGATCCTACCCTGGTAACACCTTCAGTTGCCCTGTATGAAAATGTTTGTGTAGTATAATAGTTTTTTTGAACCAAAGAAGATCAGAGAGCTCAGGTGAGTGTAAACTAAGGCCACATGGGAGTCTAAATTTGCTATCACTTATTTTGCATACATATTGAGTTCATGGTGTGGTGTGTGAACTTTTGGCACATACAGTACATCACAAATCAACATCTGATCAAGTTCCATTCACTTCCATGATAGATTATTCTTTGAATTGCCTCCCAATTAGTATTACATACTGCAATATATTTAGCTAAACTATGTCACTAACACAAGTAAAGTGTGGGAGGCTGGTCAAAGCAGATGTAGAAATTTAACCCCCACGACCTCAGCTGTCCAGTTTGGGCTAATAAAAAGTCAACATCCGGCTGGAGAAGCACCACCCCTGACAGCTCCACTTCCTCCTTCTCACAGTAATCTTCATCTGCCACAAGTCTCATAACGCTAAGAAAAATTACATGTGATAAGACCAACAGAATGAACCAAATTATGATAGCCATCCACTGATATGAAGTACCAATGTGAATGTATATGCACGCAAGAAAATGTAGCAGGAGAAAACTGAGCAGAGAATTGCTCTTGTATATTTAGTGAATCACTAGTGGCCTTCTCTGGTGGTTGAATAGACTGACATGAGGGTTGGGTTCATAATTGAGAAATTCTACCATTCTTTTCAATCAGAAACTTTTACCCCCATGGATCCCCTAAGGTCAAACAAGAGACATCTCAGAGGCGCCACAGTGGGGAGGCTGCGGCTAAGGGGCCAAACCCTTGTTGTGTCTTTCAGCAAGATGCTTAACACACATTGCTAATGAGTCTGGTGTACGCATGAATGATTGTCGGTGGTTTGAGGGGGACTCAGAGCAGTAAATAAGTGAGTGAGCGCCTTTCACAGATAGAGTCACAAAGATCTTTAAAATGTGTTGTAGGCAATGTAGTTTTGCTCGTGTCAATCTGCCTCAGGGCAGCTGTGGTTACAGTAGAAGCTTTCCAGCATCATGTATGAGTGAGTGCATAATGTCATGTGAAGTTATTTATATTATGCTATTCATGAGATGTGAATGGTCTAGAATCTAGTTAACACACATACTGCATTCTAGATTCTAGAAGAAAATACCAGCAACATTCTCAACGGTTGCAGGGGTATTTAGGGCACTGGCTGCAGCAAATGAGAGGAAGAAAAATGTCATTCTAGGTTCCAAGCTGCAGACAGTCTATCTGTGCTGTGATGCTCTGATGCGTGGAGGAGGCCGAGGGAAGTGACATTTCCTTGTAAAAGGTCATAGATTAAAATGGCTTTAAAGGCTTTGAACGCATGTCACCAACATGGTTATTGTCACTGTAACTGTGTGAAGACGTGGACTACAGCCACATCCCCAACATCGTCTTTGTATTAACTTGTTGTAAGTGCCTGTGCCCATTCTTGGAGTAGTACTCAATATATCTGATAATTAACCAGCTACGATTACACTTATAACTTTAGCATTTGTTGCTTCAGAGGGGCGATACTTACACAAACGCGTGGTAGATGAACGCCCATTCCCGCGGTCTCTCCAGCACGTTGTACAGGTAGTTCTGCAGACGCCGGTAGCGGGCATTCCTGCGGCCGCTCTGTGCGCTGTAGATGAGAGGTTTCCCCAGCAGACTGAGCCGGGCGCCCTGCTTCCTATCCCCCGTCACACCTGCTGCACTCACGGGGGGCACCCCGTCCCCGAGCCGCGCTGTGTTGTTCATGCTGCTCCTGCCGCTCTCCACATCTCTGAGCGGGAAGTCTCGACGCCAGAGCCCGCTACTGCTGCTGTTGTCTTCCCCCGTGTGGCTCCGAGGCATAGCATTAGTCTCTGGGCATCAGTCTCTGGGCATTAGTCTCTGGGCATTAGTCTCTGGGCATCAGCCTCTGGGCATCACCTGCTCCCACCGCCGCCTCTCACGTGTACTTGTAGGACAGGGAAGACTTTTATAAGAAGGACCCAAGTTGAATTCTCTAAAGTTATTGCCAAGTTATCTTTCAGAGAGTGAGAGCTGCAGTTCGCCTTGGACTCTCAGACCATCTGCGAGAGGTTGCGGGAAAGTGGGCTTTTGAAGGAGTGAATCCATCTTGACATTTGCCTGAGGGGAGGGCTCTTCCTCACTTTCGCTCTTAACCAAACATTCAATCTGGTTTCTTTTACTTAAGAGCGCGGGAGGGACGTGGACGCCGCTGCTGCTGTTTCCAAAACATATATCATGCTCTTCTTTTTACCTAAAAGGGTAGGCTACGTACGTTTTGTTTAGGCAATGAATGAAACACTGTATGTTGATCCTTTTCCATTATGAAGTATTACGAGGTGTGATAATATACAATATTAAGGCACAATATCCATGCTTGACATACAGGACAAAGTCTTCCTGTTCAAACATGTATTTATTTGAGTTTTCAAACAATCATTTATGTTCCTTTATGAATAGCTCTTTGAGATAGCATCTTATTTTTTATACCACATATTAACCACATACATTATATTAAATATACACACATACATACATGTACGTTTAACATCACAGGGTGGTCTCAGATACTGTGGTACGTGCACTGATGGTTCTTGAGCTCCTCCTTGTGGTTTATAAAATTATTTTCTAAATGTACACCGTGTAGTATAGACTTTATGACCATCCTCCTTTTTTAACTTCAACACGGAAGTCCTGTCGAAGACCTGTCTGGTTCAGCACAAATATCCAGTTTACAGAACAAAGAACGAAGAAATTCACAGCTGTGTTTGACTGCCCTCTGGTGGTGGCTTTCTAACATTTCTGGGCCAAATAAGGAGAGCGAATCAAAACATAAAGGAGCCTAAAGAGCGCTGCAAACCAAACAGACAAATAAACTGTTATATTCTATTCCGATGCGTGTTTTGTCTTTTAATGTCTTAATCGCGATTGCCACGCCATAATTTACAACAGAAATAAAATAAATCCTTTAGTTCTAATTAGTATCTATTAAGGTCAGCACCACGGACAGTGGCAAAAATTTAGAAGACTATTGCGAAGTCGTTGCATGATATTTGACACCTTTAGCCCGGTGTTCGCTTGTACAACAGTATAGCACAGGAACGCTTCGAATTGGATTAAGTCAAACCGCACTGGATTAAGGCTCAGATATTCCCAATCCAGACTCCGAGAGGCATTTCCGTACAAGCTCCTCCACACGCGCATTGTTCACGCTCTGATTCCCATTTCATGCTGGACTTCATCGGTGCATTTTTTTGGAAACATGGCCAACGTTCCTCAGCTCATCAAAATAGACATTTCTCTTAAAATGCTTCCGAACAACACGGCTGTCCACTTCAAATCCGACGGTTCCAGATTTGGACAGACGCGCACCATTAAACTGTTGACCGGATCCAAATACAGACTTGGTGTTGTCATGAAACCCGGAGCGGCCGAGGCCACGTAGGTATTCATATTTTTGGTGGCAGCCTATTGGTAATTCTATTACCCGGGGTTTATTTATTAATCTTAGATGTTTGGTTTGTTGTAGCTGAATGTTTCTGTTGTCTGACATGTTTAGATTTGCTTGTTTTGCAAATCTATCGTTTACCCTATATGTGAGGTGAAATTTGGAACTGTGGTTATTTCGTCAACTGTATATATTCGGGCTCTCCAGTTCCGAAAACGCAGGAGCAGAATACGACGAGATGTTGATTTAGAATTCAATATACTGGTTGCTTGTATTATCACTTTTAAGATATCACATATCATATTTCATATTAGATATGAATATTGAAGGTCGAATTAAAATATATCTATATTTTATTATCATTTTTATTTTATTCTTTTACAAGGTGTACGTGAAAGCAGCATCAACTCAGTTGACCGCATGTGAAATCCACTTCTGTCGTCAGGCATGTTAGCCATTTGCCTTTCAAATCTTTTATAAGATTATTTAGAAAAGATTTAGCTATTTGAAGCTCAAAATAAAGTATGGTTCAATTTATCTTAGAAATAGAAATCAATTTCTGTACCTACAAATGAATATGATAAACCTTTAAATGCTCAATTAACTTTATATTCAGAAATGGTTGATACCATGGAGCCTGCCTATCACGGAGAAACAGATTGAATTACTATTACAGTAACAACAGCAGATGTTGTATTTTATCCTAAATGCATGCATGTTGTTTTGTCAGGTCGATGAGCATTGGTGGGGTGACCTTCCCTTTGGAGCAGCAGTCTAAAGACCCTCAGTCTGTCATCTACAGCGGCCTGTATGACACAGAGGGAGTAGCCCATACCAAGAGTGGAGAGAGGCAACCGGTTCAAATAAGCATACAGGTAATCCACATGTATATGCTGATTATTCTCTGTTCAAGATGTGTTAGAAGTGTGGATGCATATCTGTAATGTTTTGTTAAAAGGTTGCACACAAATACACAAATACGCAAATATTGTTATAACAATTACAAAAGCCAAACAAAAGTTTGCAAGAAAGGAAGAAACAATTATTTTATCAAAAAACTCAACTATTTACAATGTTATAAACCCTGATGATAGCAATTTATTGTTTTCTGTTCCTTTGGTGACAATTTTCTGGACTGAGATTTCAGATATTTTTCTTCCAGGTTGGGGGTTGTAGGTGCATCAGTGGGTCTCATCTGACTCATTGATGCCTTCACCCTCCAGTTTTCTTATCTCTTCTCTGGGTCTCTTGTCTAGTGAAGGGGCTATCTAGTTTCCCATGTTCCCTTTTCCATCTGGTATATCTGCTTTATCCACTAACACAATAAGATAAGATAAGCTACATCTTTATTCATCCCATGGGGACATTTCAATGTCATAGTTGTGCACATGACAGCAGAATAGAAGAAGAAATGTAGTTGATTTGTCATTCTTATTTTGTCCGTAGGGGTTATACTCTGCACAGATGTTCCTGTATATTGTGCCAGCCACTTTGGTATGGCTCTTCTTGTATTTTTATCCCTACCTGAATCTTACACAGTTCTGTGCTGGATTGTATCTTTGCACAGTCTACACAAGGGGTTAGTTCTGGAGTGGCGGATCAGAGCCTCTATTGCACTGATGCATGTGTGCGCCTTGGGTCAGTAAATCTTTACCAACATTATTGCTATTGGCTCATATGCCACAATATTAGGAAAGATATTCTACATTATGTATCAGTTTACTTTCTACAAAGTTCATTTCAGACTGTTACAACAAAATAATTAGAAGTCCTTATAAACAACATGTAAACTTACAATTTCCTTTGACAACTTACACATTATTTTTTGTTTGTAACATGTTTCATAGTCATGATAATATTAATTTGTATATTGTGGGTAAATAACATATAATGAAGCTTATTACTGGACATGTGTTTTTTTCTTCTCTCAGTTCACCGAGGCTGGCCAGTTTGAGACAGTATGGCAAGTCAAGTTTTACAACTATAACAAGAGGGACCACTGCCAATGGGGAAACAGCTTTAACAGCATAGAGTATGAGTGCAAACCCAACGACACACGCACGCTCATGTGGATCAACAAAGAGACGTTCCTCTAAATGTTTCTTTTTTTATACTTATCCATTGTATGGGTCTCATGGTGCTATATTGAGTATATTGTGTTTATGATCAATCAACAATTGTGTTTATGTATTTACAGTGCCATGCAAAAGTATTCAAAAATCGTAAATAAAAAATAAATAAATCATAATAATTGGTCTTGCTAAAACCACAAAACAACACAAAAATAGCACAAAAGTAATTTATCATTTTGCTTTAAAGACATATTTCTTAGCCAATTTGTGTTGGTCTCTCACATAAAATGCAAATGAAGTATCTTCATGTTGGTTGTTGCAAAGTGATACCGTGTGGACAATGTGGTATAAATACTTTGGCAAGGCTCTCATGTAGATAAGACAGTGTTTTTATTTTCTACAGTACATGTTGTGCCACTTATTGTAAAATGCTTCAATGAAAAAGCATTATACAGCTGTGTTGAAATCCAATATTTTGTGTAAACATGTATAAACAATATATCTGCCCCCAGTTTATTGGAACAGGTTTTTAAATACAGTCACAACATTTAAGCTATGTCTGTATTGTCCTTTTAAAAATAGTGATGTATAATCTATTGTATTTATATATATATGTATTTTTGTACTATGATACCCTTATCTTATTAGAAACATTATCTATGCAAAATGTTTGTCTAGATGTGTGTCTAAATGTGTGTCAAATAGATGTTGATACATTTTATATACATCGTATCATATACATCGTAAATAAAATAAATCCCTTTGTGGTCAATTACTATATCTCAAGGACATTTATAAAATATATATTATTGTTGTGTACAGAAGTAGACTAAGCAACAGTGAACAAGCGATGGAACTCTTTCAGGTCCAGATCCCCGTGTGGCTGGCGGCTCTCTGCTCCTGGTGCAGACGTCTCCTCTGTTGGCGCTTCTTCAGCTGGTTACTACGGCACTCAGCCCTATGTTTTTCCTGTGTTTTCATTGTTAGAGTCTAATGTACTTTGTGTTGCATGTTTTGTAAGGCGCTATGAAAAATAAAATGTGATTTGATATTTTGATTTCGCGGCGCCTCCAGCAGATGTCGCAGTTACTCAGCCCGTGGAAGTATCCCGGATGTCCAGTAGTGCACCTCCCCCTCTGCACCTCCCAGCGGCTCTCCCTCCCTCTTCACTGCAGTCAAAGCTCGGCTCAGGAGACTGTCAGAGAGCGGCTCTAGATCTGAAGCAAAGCCGAGACACTTCCAACACAACCCCGCATCTCCCCCCCGCGTATCTCGCCTGTGCTTCGGCCTCTCTCCGTTGACGTCGCCTGGATCTCACGTCCAACCTGCAAAATGGTAAGCAGCAGCTCCGCGCACTGGTAAACACACCCGTACCGTGGCTAGGCCTGCGCTGTCATTTTGTCGCCTGATTTCACAATTTTGGCGGATTGTCCTCTGACGTCCCACTTGCTTGTTATTATTAAGCATACTTGCGACAAAAAGGCTTTAGCTTCAGATAGCAGCGACTCTTGCTATCACACACACGTACACACACACACACACACTCTGTCACTAGCTACAAGCCTATGGCCCACATATTTCTTAAACCTTCTCGGCATTGCCCACACTCTTATTAGCAATGATGGCTAAGAAAATGAATTCTGTGTGCATGCAAATATAAGTATTGGGTATATTTATTAATGCACTAGTTGTAAGGACAGCAAACATACGGACGAGAGCTCACGGTAGCTAGCACGAAAAATCCATTCCATTTTCTTTTCACAGCGTCGTCGCCTGGATGTATTTTAATATGACAGTAGTATTGCTCGGTTGGATTTTAAGATGCACACGCAATGTTAAATCTAGCTTGTATGTTGATGTTAGAATAGTGGCTAATTTGTAGAGTAACGTTTGATCCCTGCTACCAGTGCTGATTGGGCAGTAGAGTTGAGATCACTTCACTAAAGAGTCTAATAATGCTGTTATACATCAATGAGGTAGGCTTGGTTTTGAGATCAACCATTTTAAAGCCTTAAATTGTTTTTATTGCACAGTCTTTCTGTGTTTGTATTCTTCATTACAAAGCAACAGTACGCTATAATTGCCAACTAATATCTCATAATGGCATTTTTCGACCTATAACTGTTTAAGCCACGACTGCGTCTGTTTTGGCCATGTGACGTTTGAATTGATCTATTATCTACCCTATTTGCCTGTATAAGTGACCTAACCTGTAATCAATCATGAAAGTGAAATGGTTAAGTGCTTATAGTTCTGTCACTGCACCTCCTGCCAGGCACCCTCCTGCCTGGAGCTAAAATGTGGTGTATGCCCCTTGTACTGATTATGTGCCAACTTGTAGCCCGTCAGAGTGCATTCTTCTTTGCTGCAGGAGGAGGCTGGGGGCAGGGACTCTCTCCACACAGTTGCTTAAGCTTGTGTTGGAATGATCTGATGCAAAGGGGACCGACCATATGCTGCCTAGCAATCAAGCACCACCCACATGCAGATCGAGCCCAGCTAATGTAAAAGATAAAAGCCACAGTGAACCAGCAGCAATACGATGACTACCAACACCATAATGATCCAGTGCGCTGCTCGTCCAACCTGCCCACTCCAGTTCCATTTCTGTTCCTAACAGGCCAGGACTCTCCTCAGCGCCAGAAATCACAGCACGTTTACAGCTACTCTCGCTTGCACAAATATAACCGTATGTACAAGGTTGAAACCTGCTACTGAAGTCATGAGATTGAGATTGGAATCAAGACTTGAAAATTGCAGTCCCTTTTTTGGTACTTTTTTATGTATTTGTCTCCACATAGAAAAAAAAGAATGCCTTTTAGTTTTTTGGAGAGAATTTGTTAAATACCATTTCTATGAGGAAATATAGTTTGAGTCCTTGTTCGTTGGGCTCTCCCGGAACTTCCACCACGTTGAAATAATCATGTGTTGTGGTTTTCTGTACCATGATGGTACTTTTTATATAACTAGAACTATGGGTTAAGAAGCAACCAATAGGGTCAATATTTGGCCTTGTCATGACAATTGTGTGTTTTCAGAGCAAGTTTGTTGTTGTTGTTGTGGATGTGGTTTGTGTCACAACTTTTGGCCTGGCTGTACTATAAATGGCAAATTTTTATCTTTTCACTGATATTGAAGTCGCTACTGGCCTTTGTAGTGGCATAAAGCCTGTATCTATACATTTCTTCATGTGAACAAGATAAGTGGGTGAATAGTGGTAGTTAATGTACATTTTTAAACCACAGTTTAGTGTTTTGACAATGGACTGATTGTCCAAATTGGCCACTGAGAGAGTGGTTTGCAGCAGTAAGCATAGCACAGCGCAGCAGCAGTAACCTCACATAATAACACACTAATCCGTGTACAAGCCCCGAGGCAGCAGCAGTAGCACAGCAGCAGCAGCATGCATCCATAAAAATAACAGTACATCACCTTATCAAAGCCGCACAGCAGTAGAATGTTGTTGTAGCTGTTCAGTGTTGCAGTTAAAGAGATGCCTAGAGAAGAATGTCAAAGTAAATGAACAGCAGATCAGCAGTAGCAGTACAGCTTACAGTAGAAGCAGCCAGCATTAGCATAGCAGCAGTAGCAGTATGAAGCAGCAGCAAGCAACAGCAGCAGTTGCAGCATCCGTAGATAATAACAGCACTAATCCTGTATCAAAGCCACAGCAGTCGAAATTGTTTGTAGGCGGTTTAGTGGTTCAGTAAAAGAATCAAAGTGAAAGAGAGTGTCAAAGTAAATGAAGCCAGCAGCAAGCACGGCAGCAGTAGCAGGATAAGCAGCAGCGGCAGCAGTAAAGCAAGCATAGCGGTAGCAGTAATAAGCAGCCAAAGCAGCATTACAGGAGCATACACCACAATGCAATTCATACAACAAACAGACTGTCAAGCCAGCGTGCGCCGCGCACTTGTCTCCAGCCTGGTTACATAACTGTCTGAAAGAGCCGAGCCGTAAGAGACAGTGCAAAGCCTGGGGGCGGCAGCGCAGCCAGAACAGCAGCAGTTTAATGCAAAATTTAAATATCGGTTTGTTTTTGGTTTTCTGTGGATCCAATTAAAACGAAAATGCAGTAAACCAATAATGATCGTCTAAATTACTTTTTGCAATTTCCATTTGAAACACAAGAATCCCCCGGAAGTGATTCGCAAGTGCGCACCCCGCAGGTAAACAGTGGAGTAGCGGTGGAGATGAACTAAATGATGGGTGCGTTGGAAGACTTTGCAGATACAGCGATAGAATGGTTCTAAAACATTCAAACATATGCAGAAATATCAACCACGTTACACCGACTAGGTTTGTCCAAATGTCAAGTCATCAGCTGAGTCATGTCCCTTCTTTTTGATACAGTGGTTAATCACGAAAGCAAACTTTTTGAAGTGGCGTTATTTCAATCGTATAGGGCTCACAGAAAGGTATTCTGAGTAAATGTATTCATTAAACATGGATCATGTTCCTGCCCAATATATACATACATTTTTTTTTTTTTACATATCAGCCGCCTTAAAACTATTGCTGCTCCATCTCTTTTTCCTGGAATAATTTTATTGCAACATTCAAGAGGGATTCTGTCTCCCGAGGCTCACGAATCACAGCTTGTTGTGTTTTGGCAAATTATGAAGGCCAAAGACTAAATTCATCATGTATGTAAATCTGTGTTTGTTCCAGTGTAAATATTTTTGATTAGTTTGTTCCCAAATTAAAACACACTTGGACACAATTCTGTACATTTTTTTTTCTAAATTGTGTTGAATCGCAATGGAAAACCCGTTAAAACAAATACTAACTATTTGTGGATTATGTATCAATAGATTTATGAATTAGGAAATGACATTCTTAACTAAACAAGACTGTAAAATGACAAGTTGTGTATTTGAATTTACCTTTACAGAACAACTTACACCTCAGACTTCCTTTCAGCAGCAACATGGGTTCAATTTTATTTAGACTTTACTAAGGACTCACATGCAAGCACAGGATCCAGAGCTAAGAATGAAAGAACAATACACAAAAAAAAGCTGTTAAAAAGACACATAATCACATATTTACAGCAAGTCACACATACAAAGAAGCCAGTGACTCCAAAGTTTAGAAGTGAACCTGACTGAGCTAATGTAAGGGCAAACCAGGGACTGTACAATACTATTAGGTACCATCATGACTCTACACATGACTGATAGTAGCAGTGACGTAGGAAAGGAGCGCACCCTGCACTCGGCAAACATCTGACTGGACGACTGTGTCTGGGATCTTCAGCAGCATCCTCAGAGTCATAGGAAACTGTTAACCTCTGCAGACTGACTGCTTGTAGCTCCGCCACAGTTGGTTTGTGAATAAAGGAGCCCAAAAAGACTGGAACAAGGAGGTTTATACATTCACAGAACACATGTTAGACTTCATAACCAGCATGTTAGATTGACCATACAGTTTACATCTCTATCTGTGAGGTCACTGCGTGTGTAATGCCCATTAAGACCAGGACAACTGGATTTAAGAACAGTTTTTACACTTTCAAATGTGACAGAACATAATGTACACTGATGAGTACGTGCTTTTTCATGCAATGATTCTAATTTTGTAACATACATTTACAATGATAAACACGAGTTGAAAGTTTAAAATGTAAAGGAACAAAAAGGAGATTTGTGGATCAGTTATTAATTTTATTGCATTGACATAAACACATCCATCTTTGCAGATCACTGGTACCAGCCAGGACCAGCTGGAGAGCTTTGCAGATCACTGGTACAGGCCAAGGCTGGGAGTAGTGTGAAGTCTGAAACCTTTACCTGCTGCACACCCAGTGAGATCTAAAACAGAGAAGTGGGTTTAGAACAGACATAGTTATTACTTGTTATAACTTAACTATCTTATAAAGTCAGCAGAAGAGAAATAGTAACCACCAAACATAAAGATGCTCTGCTAGTCTTCTATCAGGACAGGAACTCAAACTGAACATGAGCCCAGCGGCTTTGACTGTTTCAAACCTGCAGTCTTTCTGACTGTTTCAAACCTGCAGTCTTTCTGACTGTTTCAAACCTGCAGTCTTTCTGACTGTTTCAAACCTGCAGTCTTTCTGACTGTTTCAAACCTGCAGTCTTTCTGACTGTTTCAAACCTGCAGTCTTTCTGACTGTTTCAAACCTGCAGTCTTTTTGACTGTTTCAAACCTGCAGTCTTTCTGACTGTTTCAAACCTGCAGTCTTTCTGACTGTTTCAAACCTGCAGTCTTTCTAACTGTTTCAAACCTGCAGTCTTTCTGACTGTTTCAAACCTGCAGTCTTTCTGACTGTTTCAAAGCTGCAGTCTTTCTGACTGTTTCAAACCTGCAGTCTTTCTGACTGTTTCAAACCTGCAGTCTTTCTGACTGTTTCAAACCTGCAGTCTTTCTGACTGTTTCAAAGCTGCAGTCTTTCTGACTGTTTCAAAGCTGCAGTCTTTCTGACTGTTTCAAACCTGCAGTCTTTCTGACTGTTTCAAAGCTGCAGTCTTTCTGACTGTTTCAAACCTGCAGTCTTTCTGACTGTTTCAAAGCTGCAGTCTTTCTGACTGTTTCAAACCTGCTGTCTTTCTGACTGTTTCAAACTGGCAGTCTGAGGGCTCCTCGTGTCTCTTCATAAGCCTGAAGCATCTAGCTCTAACTACTGTCCCTCGACAATATTTGAGAATGAAGCAGAAACAAAGCACAATTGAATGGTTAAGGTACATCTAGCATCATCTTTTATTTACTAAAATTTAGCATGATTACTTTCACCAATACACAAACATATCATGTTCTTATATAATATGAAAGTCTATAACATACATTTATAATAATAAAGCACTCGCATTAGGTACATTTGTTACATGTGTAAGTGTTTCATGTATGTGCTTAAGCTAAATGTGTCGTAGCTAATGCTAACTTAGCTGTTAGCGCTAGTTGCTAAGTTATGTCTTACCTTGACACTTGTGTATATATTTTTAATCGAAGAAAACACTTCTCTCGTGAATCTGAGAATTCTCATCTGCGATGGTCTCTGCAGCAGCGAACGAAAAAGCTGGTAATCTGACTGATGTTGAGGAGAGTTTTAAGAGACATTTCTCCTACAACCAGCGCTAACAAGGTGCGATCCAAGTACCTGGAGGCGACACTTCCTGGTCTCGTGACAAACGCGCACTTTCGAATCACTTCCGGGGGACGTTTGTGTTTCAAAGGAAAATCGCAAAATGTAATTTAGACTATCATTATTGGTTTACTGCATTTTCGTTTTAATTGGATCCACAGAAAACAAAAAACAAACCAATATTTCAATTTTGCATTAAATTCAAATATTGAGAATCAAAAACATCCCTTGTTATTCGTTTTTTCAATGTTGGTTTTATTTAGAAAATCAAAAGAACGAATGATACACGGATTCTGTCACGATAACAAATTTTGCTGGACGATTAAT